GGATATTTCGACGATTTTTCGTCTATCTCAAGACCGGAGCTGAAGAACAGCACTGCATGGGCGGTGGACAGCCTCTTCAATTTGATTGGTCTTGACTACGCAAAGGAGGGCCCCAAGGCCCCGGAGTTTGGAGAAGTTTTTCGAATGCTTGGAGTTCAAATAGACTCGAGTGCTGCCGCAGAAGGGTGTGTAACCGTGGGACACACTAGTGAAAGGAGAAAGGAGCTTGTTAAAGTTTTTGATGAGATTCTGGCGTGCAAAAGGCTGGCGACAAAGCTGGCCGAGAGCATTCGGGGGAGGATGGTTTTCTACGAGTGTTTTGCAGCAGGCAGGACCACTAACCTTTTGCTGAAAGAGTTTGGACGCTTGTGCCGTGCGGAACGTCTAACGGATGACTTGTCGGATGATGATTGCAAGATAGTGGCTGCCCTGCGAGACCGAGTTGAAGGTGCAGAACCCATTAAAGTGTCTCCACGGTTCATGACTACATGGTATATTTTTACTGATGGGGCTTGTGAGTCAGGAGCAGACGGCTCCAAAATTGGAGGTGTGGGTGGAGTTTTGATCTCATCGTGTGGCACCTACGTGCAACATTTTGGAATGACTGTGCCTCGGGATTGGATGGATTATTTTATGCGCCACTCCGAACACCCAGTTCACGAGCTAGAGGTTTTACCTGTTCTGATTTCGTTCCACCTTTGGAGACATTTTGTTTTCCATGCCCAAGTCCTGCACTACACAGATAACGACTCATGCAGATTCGCCTTAATGAGAGGCGTGGGCGAAACACCAGCTGCCAAATGCCTTGTCTCTTCCATAATGAATTTTGAAAATCAACTGCAGACAAAATCTTGGTACGGCCGTGTGCCGAGTCATAGCAATCCTGCCGACGATCCTAGCAGAGACTCTTTTGAAACTCTGAATGCGCTTGGCAGTGTCAGAGTGGAAATTCCTTGGGGCGAGCTGTCGTCGTTTCTGCCATCCCTATAGGGGGAGAGAGCGGGGAGACCCGACAAAAGCCCCAGTTTGGAAAAAGAGTGAGTCTGTCAGGGAGCGGAGCGGAAGCTTGCTTGATTTTGATTTTCAAGTGATCTGCATTGTTTTCTTCAGAGAGATGTTTCGATGCGTTTGCAGTGTGGTGATTCGTTTGCATGTTCTGTGATTTTGAGTTTTTGTATTTTTGGAATAGCGACGTTTACGAGGCATGCGACCGAACTGAACATATCCGACGTTGCGAGCGAACCTCACACGCGCTTTGGATACTCGCCGACCCCTCGCTGATATGTTTACCGTTACGGTCTTCTGTTCTCCTTTGGATACAGGTTTGTTCAATGCGTAGGACGATACGCGATGTGGCAGGCCCAGTTTTGTTCGTGGTCGGTGCAGCTGCTGTCTAGCTTGGTGAAATAAGGGTGAACTCCGTTGAGGAACGAAAAAGGATAAACCTTTATTTCACCTTGCGTTTGTGGTTTTGGGTGAAACTGTGTTTCAACAAAACCTTGCAGCTGCACACCGTTGTTTAACACGGCCTGGAACCTGAACAAACTTGTATGCACTATCTGTTTGAGACTGATGTGTTTAAGTATGGCAATACCATGTCAGACGAACACACACTTTTCTGTTTAACTGTTTAACTTTAAACCTGTGTACTTGGAAACCAAACAGACCACAACTGAAACTGGTGCTTCTTCTTTTGTACTCCTTTGTTGTCACTTGAGGGAGTTACTGAAGTCTTTGTTGTGGTGGCATTTTGGTCTCAAGTACTTGTGCGCTAGCTTAATGGTCGGAGAATTTTCGAACCCACCCTGCTACGCGCCCACCCGAAAATTTCCCAAAGGAGGATAACATCCACTTTGGTCCTAAGGAGGAGGTTACATTCTATTGTAACCACTCCTGCTTTTCATTTTTGCCTACCCCCTCCGTACGAGAGCGGGGAGACCCGACAAAAGCCCCAGTTTGGAAAAAGAGTGAGTCTGTCAGGGAGCGGAGCGGAAGCTTGCTTGATTTTGATTTTCAAGTGATCTGCATTGTTTTCTTCAGAGAGATGTTTCGATGCGTTTGCAGTGTGGTGATTCGTTTGCATGTTCTGTGATTTTGAGTTTTTGTATTTTTGGAATAGCGACGTTTACGAGGCATGCGACCGAACTGAACATATCCGACGTTGCGAGCGAACCTCACACGTGCTTTGGATACTCGCCGACCCCTCGCTGATATGTTTACCGTTACGGTCTTCTGTTCTCCTTTGGATACAGGTTTGTTCAATGCGTAGGACGATACGCGATGTGGCAGGCCCAGTTTTGTTCGTGGTCGGTGCAGCTGCTGTCTAGCTTGGGTGAAATAAGACTCTAGATATATGGGATTAAAGCCTCGCAATCGTTGGCTGAGAGAGAGAGCAAGAGAAGGAGAGGGGAAAAGAAAGAAACAAAGAGGCAAAGAAAAAAGGTGAGAACCAGAAACAGAAAGAGAAAACAAAAGAGATAATGACACAAAGAGAAAGAGAAAAAAAAGACAAAGAAAGACAGAGAGAAAAAAGAAAGGGAGGCAGAGAAAAAGGGTGAAAGAGAGAAAATGAGAAAGAGAGGAAAAAGAGAAAGAAAGTCCAACAAAAGAAAGAGAAGCAAAAAAAAGAACATAAGAAAGAACAAAAAAAACAGAAAGAAAGAAAGAAAGAAAGAAAGAAAGAAAGAAAGAAAGACAGAAAGAAAGACAGAAAGAAAGAAAGAAAGAACAAAGGCAGAAACAATGAAAGGAAGAAAGGAAGAAAAGACAAAAAACATAAAGAAACAACGATCATCAAGGAAGAAACGAAGGACAGAAAAAAAGGACAAAAGAAAGAACACACTGCATTGACATAAAGGACAGAATGGAAAGAACAAAAGAACAGAAGGAAGGAAGGAAGGAAGGAAGGGAGGGAGGGAGGAAGGAAGGAAGGAAGGAAGGAAGGAAAAAACTAGAGAAAAAATGAAAGAATGAAAGGGAGAATTGCGGGGAATGAGGGAGGGACAAAGGGTCGAGGGAAAAGGGATTTCGACGGCTGCATGGACTCTGGGTGGTCCTATGACAGCATCATGCCTGGCAAGCTTTCAAGGAGACGCAAGTATTTGGAGTGACCTCCTCAGGCACCCCGTGAGCCTGAGCCGCAATGTTTTGCGCAAATCCTTAACCTTTCGGGTTTGAATCCAGAAACTCGCAAGTCCGGGACCTTTTGGCGCAGAAGTATTTCATGCCAGGGTTTCTGACCTCGTGAAAGTTAACCCCAAGTCGGGCCAATGTTGCGGCCATGTTGGATCGAAACGGTCCATTTGGATCGAAGCCGTCCATTTGAACGATTTTGGGCCGATTTGCAAAAGGCGCAAATTACCACAGTCCCGTGCACTTTTTGGGCGCCCTGCGCTGTCGAAAATGCCATGCACCCCCTGCAAAATGTACCAGTCTGACAGATCTGTCCGAATCCCTGCCTATATCCGTCTATAGACGTAAAGATGTATCGATATAAAAACAAAATAGGTATCGATAAATAAATAAATATATATATATATATCTATCTATCTGTCTATCTATCTGTCTATCTATCTATTTATCTATCTATCTATCTATCTGTCTATCTATTTGTCTATCTATCTATCTATCTATCTATCTATCTTTTCTATCTATCTATTACTGTAGGTGACGCATAGATGGGTACGTAGGTTAGATGGGTTCAAAACGTGGAAAGCACTCTTTCATCACATGTTTTTTGAAAGGTTGCAGGAAATTCAGCAAATATTTACGGAATGCATCTGCCGCAGTCGTGATCTCCAAGGTCAACATCCTTCACTTTTTTCTTCCCATTTAAAGCGCATTCGCTTCAAAATTTTCCCAGAGTGCTTGAGTCTAAGCAGTGCTCTGGACAAAATGCCCCGCATGAGCTTGAACTTGTGACAGCTTTGTGCCAATCCTCGGGGTTGCTTGCTGGCAACAATGGTTCTAGAATATTCTAGAAGCAAAGAAAATCAAAAACGTGTCAAGGTAAAGCACGAAGAAACGCACGCGGTGTGTGGTCTGCATCTTTTGCCAAGCAGCGCTTGCTGTATCTCATAAAATCTTCATCTGCCATGGTGTGTTCGAATCGGGGGTTGTATCCTGAAAAGCAGCTAAGTGTAGCAGTTTGCAAAATAGAATGCTCCATTTCGATCCTTTGATGTGGATTTTGCAAACAAGTTGTAAACGCATGCCCAGCTGCTTCGAACTGGAAGTTCGTGGAGCTGATGATGTACTGCCTTACTATTTCCGGCAGATTCTGACCCCATTGTTTTTATATATACATATATATATATATATATAAATATATAAATACATATAATATACATATATATATATATATAAATATAAATATATATACATATATATATATACATATAAATATATACATATATATATATATATAGGGGGGGTGCTCGAGACTATAGGCATAGACAATCGGAAATGAACCCGTGTGAGATTTTGTCTATGAACTTTCTGGTGAGAACTGCCCACCAAATATCCCATAGATTGGCATGTGCGATTCAAGTTGCCAAGGGTCCACCGAAATTCAGAGTTCACAGGGAAAAGAACACTTTTGTTTTCAGCGGGCTGATTTTTTTTTCAGCCATTTGTGCAATATTCATTCGGAAAAAATCCACCGAGATGCGTGTCCTTTCGGAATTTGACACCAATGAAGCTTGTTGTTCCTGCAGCGGGGAATATGGCCCGGATTGACATGTCGCCGATTCTGTATTTGAACTTGCTCAATCCCATGAGAATTGAATTCCAGCCTCAAGGACCAGGAAGCCAGAATCTTCATATGATTTAGGTAGGTGTAGCCCTCATCCCGAATAGCGACAGCTTCATCCACAGACCTGCTAGCTGCTATCTTCAAACATGTGGTTGGGTTGTGTGTGTGTCAAGTTGGAGACAAGCTGAAGTACACACTTTAACTTATGAGCACAGAGGCACAGGTAACGGCCAGCCGCTTCCATTTTCGTTTGCATGCCGTTGGCCGCGCACCTGATCATGCCCCAGCCAACCACATGTACATGCAGGGGCCCCTACTTCTGCAAATTGAACAGCAACCTTTTCTTTCAGAAATGGCAGTTTCGAGATTGAATTTTCCTGAGCACATGGCATGCATGCTGCCACCACCAAATTTTCACGTGATTGTTGGCTACGAGACAGCTCCAAGCATTTGGCTGACAGCCAGCTGCAAACAACTCTGCCGTTGTAAGCCTTCAGGTTCCATACGGCTTCGTGACCGTCATATACCTCAATGAGGCCGCAACCCATGAGTGGGTCTGGGTTGGATTCAATTCTGCAGAACATATCCGAATAATTAAAGTAACTATAAAGACGTTGGACCCAGAAACGCTAGATGCTCGGAAGCTTGGCTGCGAACAGCTGATTCGGTTCGTTTTTTTCCAGAGTTTGAAGTCCCGTGTTGCCCTCCTCAAGGCTTGCTCAAAAGATCCATTCCCCCAAACGCCAGCATTGTATAAATGCAACCTTGGTTCGCGAAACTTTCTAAACTGTAACCCCATATCGCCGATGTCCCATTCTAAATAAGCCCAAAGAGTATCCCCGACGGCCAGAAACAAAAACAGTTACCAAACACGAAATGAATGAAGTATGTTTATCGCCCAGCCCTTCTTACTCTAGAGGTTGGGTGTGCAAGGCGCAATCACAGCACAAACACTTTATGAAAAACCGTTTCTCCAAAAGCGTTTGCAATACTGTGGCAGCTGAAGGGCCAATATTCCCGAAGCTCGTGCTATATTTGTTATTGGGTCATCAAACTCATAACATGAGGACAGTTGTATCCTGAATTTGACCTAGCAGCAGGGCGGCCGCGTTCGACCTTTGAAACAGGCCCAAGTGGACATTATGAGCCCAACAGGAGCGCACCATTGTGCAATGAACTCCATTCACTGCAAAGAGGGGGCCTCAAATGACATCAAAAAGGATCAAATTTGTAACGCCCCAATTGTTCTGTGGGATGCCAGTAAAAACGGAAAAACATAAACATTCGCTTCGGGTCCAAAGGGCAAATTCGGCCAGGCTTGAGAATATGGGATATGAAGTGAGCATGGGTAAACTCTTCCCCAATCCAAGCAGCAGTTTCCGTATAATTTGTGAACTGGTACCGGTCAGCCCTGCGAGAAGCAGGGCATTTGTAACAGCAGCTCAAACTGTTCCATCGGGGTTTCAGCTGGAGCGAGTCACAATGCCAACTCCAATCACCTCTGATTTCTGTCAAACAAAATTTGAGGGTCTTTGTAGGTGAGCTCCCTGGAACATCAATACCATCAGCAAACAGCTCGTTCAACTGGTGAGCCAAGTGCGCATACACTGGCCACAGCGTTGTACGGTAACTATCCATGCAACTCTCTCTGATCGAGAATAGCAGGTAGCGACTCGTTCTTGTTGAGCGGGGAGCCCATAGCGGCATGTTCACCAACACACACAACACCTTCTCCACAAACCCTGTTGAATTTGTGTACCTGGCTCCATCTCCGTAGACAGCGAGTGGTATGTGGGTGAATTTCCCGGGGTGTGATGCACCCCATTCGAAGAACTGAGTTGCGTGGTTCCAAAATTTCATAAGGGAATCTCGGCTGATGGAAACACCATACTGATCAGAAAACAAGTAGGCCAGCAGGGACTTGATGCAAAGAACAGGCACATCACGTTCCACTGGTTCTGGCAGCCCTTCCTCACTGAGATTCACCATCACTTTGACGTTCACAATATCCTTGCAAGTCTTCAAATGAAGAGGAATTCCCAAACTTTGGGTTGTCACCGTGTTGTCACCCAAAACATTTTTGATGGCAGGAAGTAGCACAGCTCTGGACGATGGCCGCACATGTGTGAATCGTTCCATTTTTGGGGAACTTGAGAATCCGTATTTCTTTCTATCTTTCTCGAAATGGCACCCCATTCTCCTAATAGTGACAGCCCCTAAAAACTCAAAGTCATTTACGATGTTTCTTACCGAAAAAAATAGAATTCCTTTCTAACGGCCGGGATGGTGGTTGTTTTGGACCAGTTTCATCATCCGAGCATCCACAGGAAGTTTCGTTTTGGCCCAGAAGTCTCTCGAAATATTGATGCCCTGTTGACTTTTTTTTGCTAATTCCCTGGAACCAGGACCTAGTCCTCCATGACTTCCACCGTGAATGTGGCACTCCTGACATGAGCAGTAGCGAGCTTTGAATATGTAATGCTTGGCAGGCAAGCAGCATGGCTTTCAGCTTCGGGCCTCATGAGCCGCCAAGGCCGCCGCAGTGGCTTGTTCCACGCTTTCCTCAACGTTTTTGTTTGAGAAGTTATATGTGTGCAGTGAACTTGCAAATCAATTTGGGAATCCGATATGTGCAAATAAGTGTCTCCATTGCCAACTCTGGCTTCTAGATGCTCCAGAAGTGGTTGGCGCTTGCCTGTGCCAAACTAGTGGATGAGGAAATATATGATGAAACAATGCGTCACTCTAATTGAAAACTAGGCAATCCTCCTCTCCAGCTGCACCAAACTCGTACCACAAAAAATACACCAGCTTGTATACACCTGCCCCCCTGTTGTGATACCGCCTTTTCTGTTTTGGGTATGCCCCAAAGAATTCCACACTGTTTTTGTCACGAGCCATTCGAAACGGTTCGGTCTTCCCCACATCGTGTCCAAGCTGTGTTCCCCATGTGTTTCTTGTGGTGGGTTCTGATGCTGAAACAAAATTAGTCACAGCACCGAACACGGTCGAAACATGGATTTCCAAAACCAGCGCCATCGTGGTGTTTCAAACTGGCAGAGCCACACCGTACCAAGTTCCAATTCAGAAGCAACAATTTATCTTCAGCATTTTTCTTTGTACTAAATGTGGTATAGTTTGCAAGCTGCCACATGGTGTTATTTCGAAGCTCTGCCCATGACCCATTTGCCAGGCGTTGCTATCAGCTCACAGCTGCATCTCACTTAGCGGGTTTGGCCTCAGACCAAAAGCACGCAATCTATGCTGGTGTGACTGAATATTGTCCCAATATCAGAGGCAGGTTTCAAAGGTGGAGAAAATTTATAACAATGGAGAATGAGTCAGGGACAACGTGTTTCCTCGCAGCTTGCACAGCACGCTTGTACTTCTCCATAGCATCTTTGGCCGACGCGACAGCAAGCACCACCTGATAGGAAGATTGAAAATGGCCATGGATAGAAGGAATTCCGGCAAAATCAATCAAATGCACTTATAAGATTCTTAGATCCCTCCAAAGTTCATGTGGGTTTCTTGGAAGCCAATTCGATGTGAAATGGTGTTCATCTTCAAACTCAATACGTGTCACTTGCCTGGGCAGGGCTCTCAGCCACCGATTCCAAGGTTTCACGGTGCTTGCGCAAAACCAGTGCACAGGCTCGGATGTCATCCGTCAAGGCTTTCAACAAGGCATCGTTCCTTGATGTAAAAAGTTGCAAAAACTGGTTCAACGAAATGATCAAAATTGTCAAGCGACTCTTGTTTTTCCATGCCTGTAGTGACTGTAGTGAATGGCGACTGCACACTGAGATCATGACACACCGCTGTCACGCAGTTTGGTTTCCCAACTATTTTGCTCAGCCAGCAGGCCGGCAATATCCCTGATAGCCTGCAGTAGTGGACATGGCCAGGGCAGTGAACTACAGCAGAAACACACCACCCTGACCTTCTTCTTATCCTTCTCCGAATTATCTTTCTCTTGCTCCTCTTCGTCCTGGGGTTGGACTCGAAAGACAGGAATGACTGTGTGTATCTCCGCTTTTTGTTTGATTTAGTTTGGTAGGTGTTCCACCAACACTTTCAGGGCCAGCATGTTGATGAGAGTTGCAGAACAGAAAGAATGTAGTTACTTTTTCACTGTATGGTGGGTTCAATTTGAGATTGTATGTGAGAGTGCGATTTTGCTGATATCCCAAGCTCCACAACTGCAACATACTGCAACAGTTTGTTTGCCACAGTTGCCAAAGTAGGCGCACCCAAAAACAGGTCGTTTGACAGTATCAAGAAGAAAGTCCGTTGTGCCCTACATATTCCAAGCCTTCTCTTTCGAGTCGGCAGGCTTGGCACCCTTGCCACGCTTGTTCTTTCCTCGTGCCTTTGGTTTTGCCTTTGCCTTGGGTTTTGGACGACCACCATCCGCTCCTGGGTCAGGCCTCAAGACAGCTGGAGTGACTGGAGGAAGGCCAACACGGGCTCGGTCTGTAGGCAAGTTAATGGGGTTGTAAGTCTGAAATCCAAATACATTCGAGATGCATCTCATCATCAGTATCTTCATAGTTGCGCTCATCATCAACACTGGTGATTTTGGTGGCTACTTCGAACTCATCTTCGCTTTCGGACACCTCCTCCTCAACATCGTATACCTTGACCTGACGCATCTCCTGCAGTGAAATTGGACATGTTGAATTTTGTTTACTGGAATGTACACTCTCTTGGACACATGGATTTGATATGGTTCAATACTTTGGAAAGAAACTTGCTCAGTCCTTTTTCTGGGGAAATTCTGGATGGTAGCGCCACAGGCCAGCTTTGACCTTCTCCTCAAAGAGCGAGTCGACCAAGGACTCAGAGTCTTCCTCTTTGGAGTACCTGTCAAGAGTGGGAACTAATACACGCACATACATATCAGTATATATATCTTGTAGTGTATAGGTACAAAGTGCCGTGCAAATTGTGTAGTTGTACATGTTCAAGACTTGGGCGTAGTTTGAACACCAGCCAAACATTTCTGACAAACATGGACAACAGTCTGGACAAGCCTGGTCAAAAGGTCGGCACGTGTCTTCCATGCCCGCTTCAAGTGTCGTTTCGACCGACTCTTGTGAGATATGGTCTGCATCGTCTTTGACTGGTCCCATTTTCCTGTTGAACTTTGGTCATAGGATGAACTGGGTTCAAAGCTGGCAAGCAAATAAAAATAAATTGTTGAAGGTGTAAAAATGAGTCCGTCCTTTGCAGTTGAAGAAATCTTCCAGCAAATCGGAGTAAGCCTCCGAATCGTTGCCTGCAGACATTACAACTCCACAGGAAAGATAACTTATCAAGTTCCAACTTGCAGGGTGCGGTGAGATGATCAGTACATATTGTGCCCCAGCCTGCCCGTGCATCGCGCACCAACTGCTTGATCTGCTTAGGGCATTTCTTGCCTGAGACATACATTGTTTCTAAATAGAACCGAAACCAGATGAAACAATCTAATAGTTTCACTGTCCAGTTCAATCTAATTGAGGCCGGTACTCTTGACTGCTCGTGCAAAGCGGTTGAGGTGAGAGTGACGAACAAGCTTCTGTTTGTCCGTGAGGTCCGCGTCGTCACTTGCCACAGTGTCTCCTGCGTCAGATCCTTGTGAAGTAGTACTGCCAGGTGCTGACTTTTTACTCACTTGGTCTTCGTCCAATTTGTCCGCTAGGTCCGCTGTTGAAGCTCTGTGTAAAGCTAGCTGGGCAAGTGCTTGATTGTTCTTGGCTGCCTTCTCTGCTTTTTTCTTTTCATCATCAGGCTTTACAACTTCTGTGGGGGGTTTGTCAACAGCTTTGTCAACTTCGGGGGGTTTGTCAACAGCTTTGTCAACTTCGGGGCTGTCCCCATCCCCTTCGCCAGTCGCTGGGGTAGAGGGAGCTGCTGACTGTGGGGTGGCTGCGGCAGTTCTCTGACGTTTTGCTTCTGCTTCATCGCTGTCCTCATCTTCCTCGGTCTGTGCAGCTTCTTTACGTTTTCTTTCTTTTTTTTCTTTCTTCTTCTGCTTCTTCTCTTTTTTATCCGTCTTGTCCTTCTTCACCTTTTTGTCCTTCTTCTCTTTGTCTTTCTTGCTCTTCTTTGCTAAGCCCTTTGCTTCGGGGGAACTGTCGATGTCTACCTGACAGATTTTTTGACACATTCCCGCACAGCCGTAAATAATGTTGAATCACATTGCAACTAGCGTTCCAGGATGAATGCAATATATAAGCCGCCTGCAGCGGCGTCCGTGGATCTGGGCACGAAGATACAAACATCTCAATACGATTATTGTTCAAACCAGTCTCCAGGAGCTAAGTTTTGCGCTGCCATCTTCATCCCAGAGCCCTTCCTGGTTGTCAGGCCTGGATGCAGCTTGATCGGACAAGACATGGTTGCCATCAAAAAGCCCACATTTTAAGTAAGGGCCAGACATTTCCATGCCTGCACCCATGTCTGCAGTGCCGCAAGCCGGCTGGATCCAGTGGCTAGTGATGTAAAATATGTAAAATTGGTACCGAAACTTGTTTTTTTGGTCTGTTTGCCAATTCCCGGTCAATGGCGTTTTTTCCCGGTCAATGGCCGTTTTTTCTCCAGCAATGCCCGTTTTTCCCCAACAATGGCCGCCATTTCCCGGTCAAGGGTTTTAGCACTTTTTTGTCGACTCCCAAATCAAGTCAACGCAGTCACATTTCTTGAATTTGTATGGTACGGTCCTCACAAAAGCAAGGGAGCTGCCATATGGTCACAACAACTTTGTCAACTTTGTGAGTTTTAGTATCTTGTGGTGTAAACCCTGACTTGTTTATTTCAACGCTAGCGCCATGCTTTGAACTGGCAAGGACATGGAGACCATTCAAGGGTCTGATGAGGCTGGGAGTCACCTGGGATGGCTCGAAAGTCTTACTTGAGAACCAATTTCAAACTCACAGTGCAAACTCGTGCTCAACAGAGTAGCTGACTAGTTTTGACATGGAGGAGAATTCTCGGTGCCAACTTTCAACAAACGTTGTTGAGGCGCTCATCATAGCCTTCATCATCGTCCCAAGGAAACAGGGGCTTAAAGGTGCCATCTTCAATCCTATCTCGCAAAAAAGCCTTGATCTCGGCCAGGTTCGCGTGTGCCCACATGCACGGCTCTTCCTGGCCAGGTTTCCAACTTAGCCAAGTTTGGGCAGGGTTTGGTTTAAACAACGCATTCATCCACAGGAGAGATAAAGTACATACAAACATACGTACTACATACATATGAACACATGGAAACAACCATTATGTCTCCGTATAGTGTAGAGAGAGAGAGAGAGAGAGAAAGAGAGCGAGAGACAAACACATGAAGCTTTTGAATCCCTGCCTTCACATCATCTAAGTCAATTGGCGCAGGCTCTTGATTCGAAGCCTGGGCAGTGGCCAGAAATGTGTTATAGTTAGATTTTTACAGGTATGTATGGCTACCTGGGGGCATGGCCATGAGACGGCGTTGTTCTTGAATGACACGCTTGGCAAAGGGCAGTGGATAGGCACCAGTGTCTTTCAAATCTTTGCCACCGGACCTGAGCGAATAGAAGCCAACAAAAGTCTCTTTCCCCATCTAATGGTTGAAAATTGATACCAAAGACATTTCACCGAGCTACACTGTGCCATTGGGACATTTTCGCACAATTTCTTTCCGTTTCTTCTTCTGCAAAGCCTTGAGATGCTCCCGACGTTCCTTGGTCATCTTGTTCTTGAAGAAGGGAATTGCAGGCCTGAAGACACGACGGCAAACAAAAATATATCAATAATGTTCAGCAAGCTCAGGCCCGTACCATGACCCCAGGAGCATTGATGGTTTTGGACAGAAATGGGAAAAGCACCCCATCCAACTTGGCCAAGAAAATCAAACATATAGGTTCAGATCAGGCAAATGAAGGCTGCAATTGGAAGCATGCATCACGTTACTTGCAACATCGATATACATCCTAGGGTTCTGACAAGCGGGTCATATAGGTGGGAATGCGGGCATCGGAGAGCAGGGTGGCAAAGTAGTCCAGCTGGGGCAGTTTAGAACTACCCGGCTGCTCCGCTGCCCAGAAAACAGCCCGCGCCATGCAAATCATGGCCAGTATGGCCGACCGACTCAAATGCAAATTGCTTCGAACGACACAGTCCAAGCTTTCATCACCATAGAGATCAAAGCCATGAATTCCTCGCTTGGACGTGGAAACAGATATCCAAATCAAGAGGCTGCAAGGAATTCCTAGGAAGCACAATCCACCCGCCACCAGGCGCAACACTTGGCGCACAGCGTAGATCATGCCATGCCTTGTAAAAAGGACATTAAAGGATTCTGAAAAAATACATTCAAGGATTCTGAATAAAATCGCTCTGGCACGGCCACTTCAAATTGCCATTTCCTTTCTGAGTCTATGACGTTGACTCTATGTTGTTGATGCGGGGGCGATGGACCCAGTCGTAGTAGTCCCTAAGAACTTTTGTGGGCCAGCTATGATCAGATTGAACAACTATTTGCTGTCAACGCTGAGGCCAGCGCGACTTGAGCTTGAACTTCCCTGGTCAGAGGCCGTTGTTCGGAATTGGCCGGATACATAAATCAAAGCATGACTTCTCACTAGCTACTGAGATTCCTGCTCGCTTGCGAGTGTATTCTGGACACCCCGGAGAACACTTCGAAGACTTGCAAGTTCTTAGATGCGGTGAAATGTTTGAGATCATACATGGTGTTGCATATCATATTGGGTTCCCGGACACGGCGAGCATTGATTGACGAAACCGGGATGCTCTGGCAAATGAAGTCGATCAAATGCAGCCTCATCAAGACAAATCACTAGATGTAGCTTTTCATTCTTGTCTCTCACTCTGTTCAAAATCACAATTCCAATAAGATCCTGGCACTATGAGCGGTGCACCCAGCTTCACCAACATCTCCGCTTGACGCTTCGTCATTGCCAGGGGGTGGGCCATGGCAGTCATAGCAGCTAGATTCAAATTTTTTCCGGATCCCTTAAGCCTTGATTGCTGATTTGAACAAACTTCTGAACCATGACAATCCGAGAAACTATTTCCAGTTTTGGAATGATTGCCAGGAATGATATATCACAAGTGCCTATCGCTCTGTTGGGGCAGCTCTTGTTTCTTTTTTCCGCAAATCTTGAAAGCTGGTCCGATCGGTCAAACGGCCACTGTTGGCTGTGGTTCGTCCCAACCGGCCAGGATCCGGGCAAGAAGCCGCCTTGCAGCATCAGTTGGAGGTTTTTTTGGTGAGGCCAGCATGACACGACCCGACCAGCTTTTCAAATAGAGACACATGGAAACACATCGAAGAATTAAATCGAGCAACCCAGTCTTGATTCCATGTCTGCGCATGTTGATGGAACATCCCTTGGATTTGTCGACTCTGAGGCCATGAAGGTTCAGCATTGCATCCATGCCGTTCTGGACATGTTTCACATAGTAGCCTGCGTTATGCCTTAGCATCCATTGAAGAGAACGCATACATTTTGCCAATTGTTATGGTGCCTTTTTTGAAGTATCAAAGCTGACATGCAATCCAAGCAAGATACGGGTAAAACTTGACCTCAAGGGCTTTAACTTTGTCGTCCGCTTTCAGATGCTTCATTTCTTCAAAACGTGGCGCCAGAGTGAAAGATTTCCTTCCGCTTCCCAGCACATCCGGAGGCACTGTCAAACCCGGGAGCTGTGCAGCCTGGACAGCGGCCAGCACCTCAGGATAAGCGAGAGATCCGAAGGATGAGGCTATATAGGCTAGGGAGAAAAAACCACGAGTCATGGGTTTGGAGCTTTGGTCAAAGTGAAAAACAAGAGACATCTGAGTCCAGCACGGATGCCGCATCAAGCTTGCTGGCATTTTCAGGGGCAAAAATTGCATCCTGACATGCCTGGGTTTTATCCGTTTTTAATGCTTTGCTACCTGTTGTCTCCGGGGCACCATCACCCTTTCGCTTCTTCTCACGCGTATCTCCTTTTTGTTTGTCCTCCTCTTTCAAAGCTTCCCTGACCTTCGCTTGAGCCTGCAGAACTTGTTTGCAAGACAAAGCGTCAGAGAGGAAACATGGGCAACTGAGCAATCATAAGTATTAAGTGGGAGAGGGAGAGAGAGAGAGAGAGAGAGAGAGCGCGAGAGAGAGAGAGATACAACTACATAGTATATATATGCATAGCCGCATAGCTACTTTTTTACATATACAAACAAATATTATATCTGGAGTAGCCTTTAAGATGTCAGCTTCTTGGTCTGTGGCATCGATCTGCATGTTTGAAGCTGCGTCCAAAGCTTTTGCTTTTTCTTCGGGAGTCAGTTCTGGAGGATTTTCTTGCAACGGCTTTGTGTCCTTCCGATCCACGTGCTCTAGATAGATTTCAGAAATTGTATGTTTGGCGCTAGACATCCACAAGACAAGGAGCCATAAAGTGACATTAAGAATTACTATCTCCATGTCCTTGAAAGCTCCGTTCACATATGGCTTCCCTTTTCGGATTTCTTCTTGACTTACATAGCCCTCATCCTCATGAGCCTCATCTGGTTGAGGTCCGCACTTTTCGATATCCGCTGGTGCGGATTCCTGTCACAGCGGGGAACATGAGTTGCCAGGGATACAGTGAACTCATAAACTTTGAAAATTTAACATTCAGGGCTCATGCCTGGATGGTGCTGGATTTTGGGCTGTAAAGGAACAGAATTCATGAAACGAAATAATAACTGAAGAATCTCGCACATCAAACAATTGCTCATTGACAGTGGCGATTGTCCTGCCTGGGGAAGGGTGTCCATGGTATCGATGTTTGTTGTTGCCTGCACCAGGGTACCCATGGGCTCCAAACAGCTCAAATTGATTTCACTGAGTGACGTTCATGACCCATACTGCCACTTGAACCCCCCAATCAAACTTGAATTTACGAGGCCCTCAGCTGCACCTCTTTCAACTTCGAATTCGGGAGACCAGCTGCGAGGCACGACTGGAGGATTGGGCGATCATCCTGACAGGGGTAAAGCATGAATTCACTTATATGGTTTCATGTGATAAAGTGCTTCAAGCACCAAAGGTCCGATTTTGGCTCCCTAAATGGGCATCGTTTTGGTTCCCTTTTTTGGCGTCAAACTTTGTGACCGAAAAATGTATGATGGCGTTCCTAATTTTCTAGATTATATAAAGGTGGTCAATGGTGGTAAGATCTAGGCCAGTGCGAAAGAACTTGTATTCACAAATTGCAATAACAATCAAATGATAGAATCCAGTGAATCCAGTCCTCTGAGGACTCGTCGCTGCTGTCGGTGCTCGATGTTGACCCAGAAGCATCCATCTTTCTAAGCGCATATTCAGCTACTTTTTTTGTGTGTGCAACCCTTTTCATACCCTCAAGACGGGCTCTAGCAGAACTCATGGCAGGATCAAGTTCCTTTACCTTTACTTCCTTTACAGTAGGCTCTGACTCGGACGACGAATCTGAAGATGATGATGAGCTGCTAGAGCTGCTGGAGTCGGAATCCTCCTTTGCCTCTAGACTTTTGGTGGCAAACGCAAATATGCGTGTTTGTCTCAACTGCTTGGGAGGGTCTGGATGTATGATCTTGATGGGAAAGCTTCCAAAAGGCATCAGCTGTTGTTTCATAGGTTTCTGGACTTGCGAATGAGGAAACAGGACCTGGTGCGGTACATGGTACTGCTTGTTTGTGCAGAATCTCTTCCAAAACTCTCTCTGCACCTTGTCGTCATGTGTCTCTGCAGGTGGGCCCGGAACCTCACAGTGGCAATCTGTTTTGATTGTTTGATGTCCGGAGTTTGGTCACGCGTGGAGTTTGGTCGAGTGTGTCTGGCCTTCTCATCACTTTTGGCATTCGTGTTTCCATCCTGTTTCGCCACGGCCTGGTCAAACGATGTTTGCATGGCAGAGTCCGGCAGGGTGCCGAAACCAATTAAAGACGGACCTGCTCAATCTTCTTTCGTGTTTCCCTTGTCTTTTCCTTTGCAGTGTTGCAAATGACTTGAACCAAGACTGATGTCACGAAACATGCAACTGAAATAACCCCAAGAACAAACACTGAACGAAAGGGTCCTTTGGCTCAGCTGCAGTGCTCTTTTGATCCTCTTCTCCACTCTTAATCTCAGAGCTTTTTGACTGACCGGCAATAGGGTCAAGCATTAAGTGGCTTTTACAAAAACCTTTAAACTTTAAACTTCGAACTACCAAACTGGCTGCAACAAAAAATGCACTTGACTGCAAGCTGTGATGTGATGAGCTGGCCTTTTGTGGCGGTGGGCGTGGGCCAGACTTTTTCCTGATTATGTCCTTCAACTCCTGAAGCTTGTCACCGTAGATACCAGGCCTCCCGATGCTGACGATATTTTTCAATCAATATCTCGTATTGACTCAAGATTGAATGCAAATGCACTTTACTATGTATATATATATATATATGTTACTGCTCGTGTATAATTTGGCGCTTTGCCTTGTCCCTTGCGACCGTCTTTCTGCTGTCAGAATGTCGGACGCCAGTGCCCTCCAGTCCATAGCTGACTTGCACGCTTCAACCTGGAAGTGAAAATGAATCAGTGTGAGACAGAACCTAGATCAATACATCTAACCTCCAACTCATGGGTAACCTTGGAATCGAAGAAACATGAATCAGAACCCAGGAAATGAGATTTGGAAGTCCCAGCCCAGAACGGCCTTCTTGTCCTTGTTGCATTGGCCCGACAACACATCATGGAACTCGTTGAATTCGAGAAAAGCCACCTGCACAGGTTGAGAAAACGGCTATGCGTTTGCCAATGCAGGGATTATCCCAGCCTTCATCTCAGTGATCGTGGGCGTGTCACGCCCGAACTCAGTGAACCATTTTTTCAAGTTCGGAAAGTTCTGGTCAACCTGCCAAAGTTGTTTGGATAACGCAATTAGGGACTATTGAAAGATCATGCGAAACTGCTGAGATACACAAGATTCATGGGACGTAGTTGAAAGGTACGCCTGCTCTTCCAAGCTTGCCGTTGTATCAGGGTCATCCATGCGGATGTTGAAAAAGTAGGATTCTTTGGTCTCCTTGTCACGGAAACAATGCGTTTATCAGTGTACTGAAGTCAAGGACATGTTGGAAAAAAGATCAGGAAATCAAAATAATGATTTCGGGCAGCCTGCTTTTCTTCTACCCATTTCCGATATGTCTTCAAGGTTTCTGGTGTGACACCTTCGAGCAAGTAGTCCTGGCAAACCAGGCAGGAACAGTGGGATGATGTGGTTTGAGCATCGATGCCAAATTTGGACATAACAAAAAAATCGGTTAAAACATGGCCAGGAGCACGAGCACATTTCGAACTTGTTCAGGTTTGCATCTTCTTTCGATCCATCTAAAAACTGACCAATTCGTGTTGACATGGTGCCAAAAGTATCATAATGTTTCCCAATCGCAAGACCCACGATCGTCCATGCAGGCCTGCAGCGGATTGGAATGATTGGCGGCCTTGGCGACAGCATGGGGTCTAGCACGAAAAAAGGGATCAACTTGTTTGAGATGTTAAAGGTTGCTATCAATTTGGTTTGAAAGTTGTTTTCATCCCGTTTGAAAAAAAATGTTGTGTCATCGCAAAATCTTCATCAAAGGGCGACTGGAGCCCCCACGCCGGAACCTTGCTAGGAACATGCAATTGCATGGCAGATCCCAGTCAGAAGCAGCGGCGTGGAAATTCACGCATTTCAATTTGGAATTATGGATCCAGAGATGATTGGTGAGAAAACTATGTCAAGCTAACTACCTAACTATGCTGTGCAATTCCGTTTTTGCATGCTCATGAACGTCCAAACATAAATGATGTGATGTTTTGTGACACTTTGTTCACACTGGGTTGCAAATCGTGGGTCCAAAAAAAGTGATATGCTGGTGTTGCATGCGCGGACGGCCGAGCAAGTGGTGCCAAAATTGGGGCGCCATTTTTTGAAGTCAGTGCCACCAAAGACCCAAATACTTACTACCAGCTGAAAATAAATAAAGATCACATGTTTCAAACTTGTCCTCTAGGTTCCAGCTGCATACATTGATCCCCAAAAGCTCAATCAAAGTTTCAGTGCCAACGACGCAGTTGTAGCGTTGCGCAAAAGTCTGCATTAGTGTGACACACACATATATACGATCCGTGAGTAACAGCGCTACGTAAACCGTATACCATATACTTGCAGACAACGACCCACAACCAACAGTAAAACACACCATGAAACAACACAGAGAAAAGACATTTGCACACAAACGTAACAATCGGGCCAGTAGATCAATGAAACAAACTGTAAAGACCAGACGACCAAATCGGAATTGAACAGTTAAGAAATCAAGGCAGCAAAGCGCACGAAGCGAAAACGCAAGCAAAGCTAATGAACACTGAGCCAACCACACAGATAGCCAAAAACACGCAATAGCAAACAAAAAACACAGACAGGCAACGTACACAAAACACAAAACGCATAAAAGCGGAAAAAAGGAGTGAAACTAAGAAACACGCCCCCAAGAAAAAACACGCAAAAAAACAGAAAAAACACAAACAAACAAACCAAACCAACAACAAACAATCAAACAAAACAAAAAACAAACAAAACAAAACCCAAGCCAAACCAAACCAACAAACAAAGAAACAAACAAACGCGCAAAAAACAAAAAACAAAAAGCACACAAACAAACAAACAAACAAACAAACAAGCAAGCAAGCAAGCAAACAAACAAACAAACAAACAACAAACAAACAAACAAACAAACAGACAGACAGACAGACAGACAGACAAACACACAAAAACACAAACAAACAAACAAAGAAAGAAAGAAAGAAAGAAAGAAACAAACAAACAGACCGACAGACAGACAAACAAACAAACAAACAAACACACAAACAAACACACAAACAAAAAACAATGCGAACAAACAAGCACGCAAGGGCACAAACAAAAACTGCAAACAAACAAAAAAACCAACCAACAAACAAACCAACCAACCAACCAACCAAACAAACAAACACATAAACACACAAACACAGAAACACAAACACACAAGCAGGCAAACAAAGAAGCAAAGAAGCAAATAACAAACGAAAAACAGACACAGACACAAACACAACCCAGAAACCAAAAACAAACAAAAAAATAGAAACACGAGAAACATACAAACAGACAAATACACAACACACAAAAACAAAACGACAAAAACAACCAGACACGTAAAGGAACACACATGACAAGTCACTAAAGATACAAACACACCAAAGCATGCGAACAAAAAACAAGCAACAGAACAAAAAACAAACACATGGGCCAACCCACGCGCGAACAATTATCACAGCTTTGTTGGTCCTATCAAATATTGCCAAGCCGTATACATATCATATAATTGTATATGTACAGTATTAGTTACACACTAGATCTTTTGAAAATATATTTAGCCTTTATTATATATATATATATATAAAGATGATTATATTTATATATATATATATGTATTATATTTGTTTTACCTTTTTCCTCGACACCGACACGTGTCAGGCGAAAAGTGTGCGCATGATTTTGGGCATGCTCATCTGGGCGGAAAAATATACAGTTTGCTCAAAGGCAATTTTCAGACATACGACGGGGAAGTGCCATACTCGCCGGGGATTTGCCATGCTCGACGTCGCGAAAACAGATCGACTGGCTCGACGCCGCCAGACGCATGCAAACGAACCCCAGGGAGTTGCTGCGCAAGTACGAGTATAATGACATGGAGGTGGTGCGTTTTATGCGGGAAGGAGTTCACCTTGTTGGGGTCCATGACTCTCCCCCGTGTTACCCTGAGAAAATTAAGGCAGCTAGCCTTACCAAACAAGATTTGGAAGATTCTGCAGTTTGGAGAAGGAAAGCAATCATTGAATGGGTCGAAACCAGCGATCCGTCCCACCTTCGTCACTTGGAAGGGACAGCCTTGGAGGAGACCGACATGGGTTTCATTGAGGGCCCTTTCTGGTCGGAACGAGAGGTGAGCGATTATTTTGGCCATGACCGTTGGATGGTGGTGCGCAGATTTGTTTTGGTGCAAGGGACTGAACAGAAGCTCCGTCCCATAGACGACTGCTTGGAAGCTCAACTCAACATGGGCTTTACCTCCACTTCCTATCTCAAACTGCAGGATGTTGATTACATCGCCAGTCTTGCTTTGAAAGTGGCAGAAGCTGTGTCAACGGGGCAACAGCGGCATGGTTCTGGTGAATGGAAAGGGAAGTGTCTTGATTTGAGCAAGGCCTATAAGCAAATGGGCATTCACCCTTCTGATCGCCACCTTGCGGTGGTTTACTTTGCTGGAGAGGATGGTCGACCACGGTTTTATGTGGCGAACTCGCTGATGTTTGGGTCAACAGCAGCAGTTTACAGTTTCAACCGTGTCAGTCGCAGCATCTGGTGGTTGTTTAACAAAATGCTGCTGATCCCCTGCGGGGTATTCTATGACGACTACCCCCTTTTCTCTCCTGCAGAGCTTGCTGAGGATTCAGATGCCAGTGCTAGTGCACTGCTTGACATCCTTGGGTGGAAGCATGCTCGTACGGGCCCAAAAGGCCTCCCTTTTTCGCAACGTTTTCAAGTTTTGGGGTGTACGCTGGACCTGAGCCATGTGCCTCAGGGTGATGTTGTCACTGAGAACAAGCCTGGGCGATTGGACAGAATCCGAGAGCAGCTTACTCGGATTAAGCAAGCTGGCAAGATCAGTCTGCACGAAGCTCAAATACTCCATGGACTCCTTCGCTACTCCTGCGGCTTCTTTGCCGGGCGCCATTTGTTTCAAGTTTGTGCAGAGATTGTAAACTTCATGTCTGCGTTGGCCACCTCTCGCCGAGCCAATGTTTCAGATTTTTGTGACTATGCTGCAGACATGTTGGAGCGCAGCAAGCCTCGAACAATTTCTTCTGCGGGCGAGCGACGCCCAATCTTGATCTTCACGGATGGAGCTTGGGAATCAGGAGTTTCAGGTCTGGGTGCTGTTCTGGTGGATTGTGCCACCGGCGAGAGTCATGTGCTTTCTGGAGAAGTAACTGGTGTTCTCATTGACCACTGGAAGCAACAGGTGGGCGAACAGCTTATATGTCAGATTGAGCTGTATGCCATGGTAGCTGTGAGGTGGCAGTTCCGAAAGCTCATTGATCAGCGGCGAGTGATTTGGTTTGTTGACAATGAAGCAGCCAGGTTTTCTGCCATCAAAGGCATTAGTGCCACTACAACCATGCGAGCCTTGGTACGTGAGTTTTTCAGCTTTGAGGCGGAATCTCCGTCCTTCCCTTGGATTGAACGAGTGCCCAGCGCATCAAATCCTGCAGATGGCCCATCGCGCAATTCTCCTGAAGAAGTCATGACTTTGTTGGGCGTTGACGCCTGCAGTGTTCTGGAGCATCCGGCAGAACTCATTTCACGCTTGATCCAATCCAGCCGGTCTTTGAAGAAGGGGTGAAAATTCCGACCAGCTGGAATGTTGAAACCAAAAATTTGGGTGCTACCCATCAATAGCCAGAATGGTCAGAATGTTTTGAGAAAACTTGTCAGATCCTGTGCGATCGTCCTCAACGAGACATATTTACCCCGGACTCCTTGCGAAGGCAAGGCATTGGCCGGAAAAAGGATTGCTGCGTGAGTTTCCACTTTCTTGCACCATTCATTCACTGAAAGCTGTCGTTTTGCACTGTTGCCATGTCCGTTTATTTGACTCGTTTTTCACGAAGTTTTTTTGGCGAAGTGAAGCGACGGTGGCAGGCGTTTTCGAGCGGTTTGGGGTCTCTTTCGTTTCCAGTGTTTTGGCCGGTGATAGATGTCATAACGGGTTGTTTATTGTTTGGGAGTATATGTTTGTTTTAATTTGGTCTGGTCTCACATATAATACAGACTTTTGTACATATGGGAGAAGGTTACTTCTGCTTGCAGACGACACTTTCTCTCCGTAGTACTAAACAGGGCTCTACAGAGCCCGGTCTGTATATATATGTGCAATTGACCTCTCCTATATATACTCCCATGTCCCCGCGTCTCTGCGCGAAGCTCATATACCCGTTTATGATATTTTACCGGTTAAGTAAATGCGCAAGCGCTGGAAACTTTGGCCCTTAAACTCTGGAAACCAAAACCCAAACAAGAGAAACCCAAACCAAATCTTTATTTCCCTGTGGTTTATCTGAAACCAGCCGTTGCAGGCGCTGAATGGTTTGGTTATCTCTGTGGAAGGGTTTTTTGTCAGAGTTTATTTTTGAAGAGCTGCTGTCATCAAAATTTTTAAGTCAATGTTTTAACACCATATCTGAGATCTTGACAAGTTGTTTCTTATTTTCACCACCTGAATATCTTGAGGACTCAATGTCAATGTTGTAGCAACTTTGGATTAAGGGTGGTGGGCGGGTTCCATAAAACTTTGGAACGGCAGAAAACTGTCCCTCCCAAAACCCACCCGTTTTCTGGGGGTGAAAATTCCGACCAGCTGGAATGTTGAAACCAAAAATTTGGGTGCTACCCATCAATAGCCAGAATGGTCAGAATGTTTTGAGAAAACTTGTCAGATCCTGTGCGATCGTCCTCAACGAGACATATTTACCCCGGACTCCTTGCGAAGGCAAGGCATTGGCCGGAAAAAGGATTGCTGCGTGAGTTTCCACTTTCTTGCACCATTCATTCACTGAAAGCTGTCGTTTTGCACTGTTGCCATGTCCGTTTATTTGACTCGTTTTTCACGAAGTTTTTTTGGCGAAGTGAAGCGACGGTGGCAGGCGTTTTCGAGCGGTTTGGGGTCTCTTTCGTTTCCAGTGTTTTGGCCGGTGATAGATGTCATAACGGGTTGTTTATTGTTTGGGAGTATATGTTTGTTTTAATTTGGTCTGGTCTCACATATAATACAGACTTTTGTACATATGGGAGAATGCTTGCCAGGGCTTTTTTCTTAGTGCGATTTTTGTTGCGTCGATTCCTCAGAGCCGTGATGAATGCGTTGTGATGACTTTATCAGATTGCGGAACCAGATTCAAAATTTCAAAGGTGAGATGCTGTGATTGTGATTAAGGGTACAGGTCAAAGATTGGACCCCTTGGATTTTACAAATGTTAGTATTGATGTTTACTCCTTGTCATATCTAGAAGGTTTGATGGGACATCATGATGAGTTTTCTCTGTCTGTGGCTTCTCTTACTACGTGCCCAGGCTTCATCTGGGATATTCCATTGCTCTGCTGGCCATGGCTGGGTAAGACCCTCAATAGCTGCTTTTGTTGACGTCTCATCCTCTCACCAGCGCATCGTGCTGTGAATCATGAGTTTGCCAAGGCCCATTTTGAAGATCCACGTCTGCGTACAATTGTGTCAGCACTCATGGAGGACACAGCACAAATCATGATGAGAAGTGTAACAAGTTTTTTTCACCATTGTGGCATGTGAATGACATGACCATATCGTCCAGGCTTTTGTGCTCGAGAAAAGTCCGCTCCCGCTTGCATGGTAGCGGAGCCCAAACGGGCTTCCTACCTGTAAGCAATCGTTCATCCTTCTGCGCAACTTGCTTAGCCATTGGAATTTTCTGGAACTGGGAAACCTGGTGCAACTTTTTTCATTGCTTGCTGGATTTGTGGTAGGTGCACAACTTTGAAGCGTGGCGCGGAACATCATTCTGATTTGGACAGACTGCAACTTAACGTTGGGATTGGCTGTAACTGAATTTGGCTTGTGTACAATTCTGGGATTGGCATTCATACAACTGTTGCATTTTCTGGCGTGTGATAACAGAGTGATTTGTGGAACAGCTTGTACGTTGTGCAATTTACAATTTGCTGGGTGTGCAATTGTTTTCCAGCTTGCGTTGATTGCTTGACGAGTTCTATTTGGAGGAGTTCCCAGGTGAAAGGATGAGTTTCGACCCAGCCATATTCCAGGCTGCACTAGTGGAGTGGCACCCCAGGCCACATAGGGTGATGCGATGGTCTAGGCCCTTCTGTGTTCGGGGTTTCTAGTCTTAAGATTGTTAGGACCCCCGGGAGCATGATGGTTGGTCATGCGCTTGCTTTGACTTATGTCCAGCTTTGCTGATTGTTTTGTGGTACCTACTGTATTGGTTAGGACCACTTGGTTTTTGACAGGTGTTGCTGTTATTTCCCCCACCCACCCGCACCTTTTTTTCTACCGGGGGGGGGGGGAAGCACGGGCAGTGCTGGTCAGCTGGACAGCTGATGTTATGTGCAAGGGCCAGAGTAGAAATCTGGTGTTGTTCCATCCATTGCGAGTCAAAAAAGAAAGGGGTTCGGTGTGTGCAGGGTGATGCCGGTTTGGGCTTAACTAAGGGTTACCTTTGGTTGGGATTCCTTTGTTGGCATTGATGTGGTTTCTTGTTTCTAAAAGAGGCTTTAGCCATCTTTACTCCGTTGCATTGCCGAGTGATGGAGCACATGGTATTTGTGTTTGATTCGGTTTGTTTTGATTGTGGGGCCGCCGACGGTAGAATCACCTGGGAAGTGGCCGAGGCAACAAAGGCCGCGGCACAAGCCGCCCAGGCCATACAAAGTGCACCACAGCAGACAGTGGTGACATCTCCAAGTTCAAGCCCTAGCAGTTCCAATGCGCAGAATGTTGATTGGTCGAAATTGTTGAATAAGCCCCCTTTGTTTGACTACAAGTCCTCAGAAGATGAGATACGTGCCTACAGGGATTGGAACTGGCAACTTGTACAGTTTCTGAATGCGATTGACAGTGGGTATGAGAAGGAGCTTCAATCACTGATGGATGACCCATCTCATCCATTTGACCTTGGTACAGCTTCAGCAGAAACGCGCAACCGAAGCGCCAAGCTGTACGGTTTACTGGCATCACTATGCAGGAACAGGAGTTTGCATGTGGTTAGAAGTGTGAAGAATGGTGATGGATATGAAGCGTTGCGTCAGTTGACTTTGGCGCTGAGACCATCGGGCAGTGGCAGAGGACTAGCTCTCATGTCAGCCCTGACAAGCTGGCCACAGTTTGCTATGAACCAGCAGTTGCAACCCCAACTCCTGCGCTTAGAAGATGCACTGGAAGCAAAGCAGGTGCCACGATACCTGACCAGCTCAAGCAGGCGATCCTGTTGAAGTCAGTAAGTGGCCAACTCAGGACACACCTCAACTTGTCCATTCAGGAGACAACCACGTTTGCTGAATTGAGGGATCATGTGTTGCGTTGGGACAGGAGTCAACAACGTTGGAATGGGCTTTTGTTTTCAGATGAGGCAACTTCATCTATAGCTGCCCCCATGGAAGTTGATCGCATCTACTCTTCTGGCAAGAAAGGTGGAAAGACAAAGGCAAAGGGTGGCAACAGAAAGGTCAACAGAAGGGCAAGGGAAAATCAAAGACAAAGTCCAAAGGTGATGGAAGGTCAAACAGCAAGGGCAAGCAGAAGGGAGACGGAAAGAGCAAATCAGGTGGGAAGTCCAATGATTCCACTGGATACAAGGGCAAAGGCAATAGTACAAGTGGAGTGTGCCATCGATGTGGCAAGCCAGGGCACTATGCACGTGACTGTTGGGCGTCCAATGTCAGAGCTGTGCAGTCAGAGGGTCAACAACTACCGCATCCTCAGACTTCACAACCATTGCAGTCATCTCCAAGCTCAACTGCAGTGGGAGCCCCAAGTTCAGGCGATCAGCAACAGTGATCAACTCAGTTTCGAGTTGCAAGAATTCATGAATTTGAGTTTCAAGGTTCTTCAGATGTTAGGGTTCTGCTTGCAGATCCCGCTGTTTTTGTAGCCCTGGTGAAGCTTGCGTAACGCACGCGTGTTGTTGCGCTGATTGCGTGGCTTGCGTTGTGCTCTGATCTTTATTTTGTGTGGCAGGAATTGTTTTGTCAGAATATTTGTCAGGCCCCTGCGTCGCGCTAACCTGTCTGAATATATATCTGACTTTGAACTTCGAACTGACTTGAAACTTTTAAACTGAAACTGTTGCAAACAAAATGTTGGCACCAAGGTTTCACAAACTTTTAACTGAACTGTTTGAACTGATGGATGTTCAAATGATCGACTGTTTGAACCTATCTTAGGACCTATCTTAATTATACCACTCTGGGTTGAACTTGAAGTTTTTGAATCTTGGGAATGTGGTAACATTTTGGTCTCAAGGATTTTCACAAATCCAAAGGTGATTTTGTTCAGTGCATGTTTTCCCAGACGTTCTTTCATTCGGGATTTCCTGCGCTGACGTTGACACGTCGCTTGCCATTGCAGACTGGCCTGGAGCTGACCTTATTTCGTTTTTACAGTGCTGCGATCAGAACTCGTATCCTGGAATTTTTGGATTCATCACAGTGGTATCGGTGGTGCTGTGCCAGTGTCGTTTCTTTTCTGCGCTGCATTAGTGTCAGACAAGTACCTACGCCACGAGTTGCACTGCCTTTTGGACCCCTTTCTGATCCAGGTGACCTGTCCGAATCAGGCAGTTCCATTTCTTCCCAGTCCAGTTTTGAGGCCTCAGATCATGCGCCGTAGACTCAGTGTTGCAGCACGTGGAAACATTGCAATTCAGCCTTTGGTGATTTCATCACCCACTTGGTATTCAACTTATTGCTGCTCCATTTTTTGCAGTGGATTCTTTTTGGGCGCGGTATGGATTCTCTGGTTGCTTCTGGCATGAGTGACACTAACTCACCAACCTCGCCGCTTCAAGAGGCAGGGGATGACACGGAAGCCAATTTGGACCTTTTCCAGAGTGCAGGAGATTTCAATGAGGCTACAGGTGATTATGGAGGATCACAACTGCAAGAAGAATCACATTTGTTGAGAGGCATTCATAGATTGCATGATGAACCAGGTGACTTGCAGGAACAACCCAAACGCAGGAAGTCCGACGGAGTGGTTGAGAATGCTTGGACAGGTTTGGGACTTGGTTCATTGCAGGGAGCTCAGCTTGCTTTCTCTGCTACAGTCGATTCAATTGCAGATGAGTGCAACGTGAAACTTGATGCTTGCAATAGATTGGATTTTCAGATTGGAGACGCAGTTTTGAAATTGCAGCGCAAAGAATCTCTCAAGATGCCTTGGGATGAAGTTCCTTCGGAACAGTTTTGGAGACATGCAAAGCCTGCAGACCTTTTCAAGTTGCCATTGCTGGGGAGGTTTGACAAACCCACATTCCATCCTGTTGCTCAGATGGTTGAGGGTAAACTCACCCAATGGGCCAGTGACCGGCCTTTTGCAAGCAAGAGGCTGCTGGCTGCAAAGTTTGCTCAAACTGACGATGCACTGCTGGCAGGGGCCTTGAGAAAGTTGCGCAACATACTTTTGCATCATCCTTCTGATTCTCAGTTGGGGCGTGCACTGCTGGACAAAGCTGGGTCCCTCGTCGCTGAAGTTGATTTGCAAAGATCTCTACGAGACAGTGTTGCGAGCAAAGCAGTTGGAACAGTTGTGAAGCGTGTCACTGACCACAACAACTATGCACAATTTCTAGTTGCAGAATGCCACAAACGACCATTGCAACCTGACGAGTCTGATTTTTACAGGTACCTCTGTCACTTGAAGGGGACTGGATCGGGCGCCACTTCAGGTGCTAGTCTGCTTCAGGCTTGGTCGTTTTTCAGGTACACATTTGGCGTTGACGCAGGAGAACAAGGGGCCCTAGTGTCAGGGCGAGTGAAAGGAGTGGTGAACATGATGTTCTCTTCCAAGCGCAAGCTGACACAAGCTCCGCCCATTCCTGCAGACTATGTGTATCGTATGGAGCGTTTCCTGCAAACCAGCCATGATGACAGATTGCGGACCATTGTTGGATTCATACTTTTCTGTATATATAGTTGTTCCCGATTCGGGGACGCCGCTGGAGGGGACCCGAAACAACTCCTGTTCCAGGAGGCTGCATCTTCAGACTTGACCCTGGTTGAAATTGGGCTCAGCAAATACAAGACGGCCACAGGTGAACGGAAGGCCATATTGTTGCCACTCATTGCCTTGGGTTGTGGTCTGGACGAAGTCAGTTGGGCGATGGCTTGGAGGTAAGCCCGAAAAGCTTCTGGTGCAGACTCTATGGGTCACTTGATGAGTGCGGACTCTCAATTTGCAGAAGTTTGGCTGGATCGTAGAATGACAACAGCAGAGGGCAGCTATTGGGTGAAAGACGACTAAGTTGGGAAGCGTAGTGGACCAACTGTATTGTCCTTTTTGGACAACCCAGGGAGTGGTGGGTGGGATCTTACTCCCTCTTTGGTTCCCGTTTGCTCCTTGGGTCTTCGTTTCTCCTTTCTTCGCGCCTACGCGTTCCCTCCTCGCTTCTCCGCGGGGTTTTGTCTTAGCTCTTGCGTTTACGCTTTTACGCGTACTCAGCTTCCTTATCTGACACCAAACAGCGCAAAACACAACTTTGAAACCCAATTATTTCCGGATCACTTTTCCAGTAAACTTAAAGTTTGCTTTGTACAGTTTGAATTTCGGATTGGGTTTGTGTTTCAGTTTGGGTCAGTTTAGTTGGAATTTTGTTCATCCTGTTTCATTTTCCACTTATGTTTCATGTAGCTGTGGGGCTGAGAAATTTTCAGTTAGAATCCGCGCTGCGCCACGGTCGCTCAATGCGAGATGGATGGTGCTTGGAGCAGTTTGGAGTCGAGCGGTTTCAGCCTTACAGAGAAGCTCCGCCAGGAGTTTAAAAGGCCTCACCATGTGTTTTTCTTGTTTGACACGGTTGATGAGTGTTTCGAAGTTGTCAGAGGTTTGCATGATTACACTGCTTCTTTGCACGAGATTTCACGGGATTCAGACATTTTGTTTCAATGGGCCGACAACTACAGAAAGGCATGTGAAGTTGAGAGGCGCTTGGAATTTCAGGATGCCAAGCGGTGCCGTTTGCAGGAACCTAGGGACCCGAATGCTGTTGATGTTTACAGTGAGTTGTTGGGCATGGATGTCAAATTGCAAGCGAGACTGTCTAGAGCTTCATACAGGTTGGCACTTGCAAACCCACACATGTCACGTTCTGATTTGGAATCTGCAGCTAGGGAGCAGTGGTTGTCGGTTCTGGTTGGCTACATCACGGAAGCTGACCTTCCGATTTGCAAGGTGGCGGCATCAACCTCAGATAGCAGTGCAGTATTGAGAAGATCTTTTGGTAGCCGTCGTCTGAAGACACTCAGAAACCGTGCAAGGTCTTGGAAGAAAGTTAGAGATTGGTTGATTCAATTCAAGGGAACTCCATTTCCTACCGACGTTTCAGACATGTTGGACTTCTTGCTTTTCATGGTCCAGGAGGAGTCATCAAGAGGTCGTATTGTAGATGTTTGTGCATCCCTTGCAGTCTTGGAGGATGCTGGACAGGTTCCACAGGAGTTCAGAATATCGTCTTGCAGGATCTGGCTGCAGGCGACCAAGTCACGCCTGGCGGAGATTGAGACAAGCGGTACAGAGGTCAGAAGAGCTCCACCATTGACAGTTGCAATGATCAGTACATAGACCCGGGCAAGCCGGCGGCGGAAGTTTCCCAAGAATAAATGACCTATAGTTCAAGGCCAGCCTGTCCCGAGCGTGTCCTTCCCTCGACAAGCGGTTTTTTTTTCAGCGAGAGACGAAGCAAAGTCTTCACACTCCACACTTCACACTTCACTCTTCGCACTCCAAACTTCACACTCCACAGTCCACACTTCACACTTCTCACTTCTCACTGCTTCCTTCACACTCCAAACTTCACACTCCACACTTCACACTTCGCACTTCACAGTCCACACTTCTCACTTCTCACTGCTTCCTTCACACTCCAAACTTCACACTTCACACTTCTCACTTCGCACTTCACACTCCACACTTCACACTCCACACTTCACAGTCCACACTTCACACTTCTCACTTCGCACTGCTTCCTTCACACTCCAAACCTCACACTTCACACTTCTCACTTTGCACTTCACACTCCACACTTCACACTTCACACTTCTCACTTCGCACTTCACACTCCACATTTCACACTTCACACTTCACAGTCCACACTTCACACTTCTCACTGCTCACTGCTTCCTTCACACTCCAAACTTCACACTTCACACTCACTTCGCACTTCACATTCCACATTTCACACTTCACACTTCACAGTCCACACTTCACACTTCTTACTGCTCACTGCTTCCTTCACACTCCAAACTTCACACTTCACACTCCACACTCCACACTTCACACTGCACTCTTTGCACTCCAAACTTCACACTCCACACTTCACAGTCCACACTTCACTTTCTAGTCATTTATTCTTGGGACACTAATGCCGTCACTTCTACTTCCCACTGTCATTACCTAAAAAGGGGCCAGTCCAAACAGTTACAATACTCATTGTCACTACAGTTACAGCCACAACGGTCATTGTCAAAGTAGTCTTTGTCATAGTATCTATGGTCACAGTAGTCATGATCAGAATAGTCACAGTCACAGTCACATCAGGTATGGTCACACTAATCAAAGTCACGGTGGTCATTTTATGGAGGTTATCAACATACAACCGCACGAACGATGGAATTACTTCACACTCCACACTTCACACTTGTCACTTCTCACTGCTTCCTTCACACTCCAAACTTAAACTTCACACTCCACACTTCACACTTCTCACTTCCCACTGCTTCCTTCACACTGCACACTTCACACTGCACTCTTCACGCCCCACACTTCACTGCTCTAAACCTACGTGCAACGGCGTCGGAAAATTGTAGCTCCAAAACCGGATCTCGACGCCAGAGCGAAAAAAAGACGATTTTGAAGCACTTTTTAAAAGGATTTTTAAAAGGAAAATTACTAGCGCCAAAATGGAGGAAATCTGCTGACAAATCACTGTCGCAGCCTTCATGCAGCCACTCCAATACGATTTACGAAGTCCAGCTGCAAAAGACAATAGTATTACGCATGCAGCCTCAGCATGAAGCAACCTTGACGCAGCCATTACAATGCGATCTGCGGAGACTGAGTTGCAAAACACAATAGAACTACGCGCAACTGGGTCGGAAATTGCAGGTCCAAAACCGGATCTCGACGCCAGAGCGAAAAAAAGACGATTTTGAAGCACTTTTTAAAAGGATTTTTAAAAGGAAAATCATTAGCGCCAAAATGGAGAAAATCTGCTGACAAATTACTGTCGCAGCCTTCATGCAGCCACTCCAATACGATTTACGAAGTCCAGCTGCAAAAAACAATAGTATTACGCATGCAGCCGCGGCACCAAGCAACCTTGACGCAGCCATTACAATGCGATCTGCAAAGACTGAGTTGCAAAGCACAATAGAACTACGCGCAACTGGGTCGCAAATTGCAGCTCCAAAACCGGATCTCGACGCCAAAGCGAAAAAAAGACGATTTTGAAGCACTTTTTAAAAATATTTTTTAAAGGAAAATTACTAGCGCCAAAATGGAGAAAATCTGCTGACAAATCACTGTCGCAGCCTTCATGCAGCCACTCCAATACGATTTACGAAGTCCAGCTGCAAAAGACAATAGTATTACGCATGCAGCCGTGGCAAGAAGCAACCTTGACGCAGCCATTACTATGCGATCTGCAAAGACTGAGTTGCAAAACACAATAGATCTACGCGCAACTGGGTCGGAAATTGCAGGTCCAAAACCGGATCTCGACGCCAGAGCGAAAAAAGACGATTTTGAAGCACTTTTTAAAAGGATTTTCAGAAGGAAAATCACTAGCGCCAAAATGGAGAAAATCTGCTGACAAATCACTGTCGCAGCCTTCATGCAGCCACTCCAATACGATTTATGAAGTCCAGCTGCAAAAGACAAGAGTATTACGCATGCAGCCAAAAGAGGAAGCAACACTTGCAATCCCATTTACATTGCGGGAACGATCCTACAGTTGCAAAGCGCAATGGAATTCCATCGGCAACTCATCCACCAGCAACACTTGCAATCCCATTTACATTGCGGGAAGGATCCTACAGTTGCAAATCACAATGGAATTTCATCGGCAACTCATCCAGGAGCACCACTTGCAATGCCATTTACAGTGAGGGAACGATCCTAGAGTTGCAAATCACAATGGAATTCCATCGGCAACTCATCCACCAGCACCACTTGCAACCCCATTTACAATGCGGGAACGATCCTACAGTTGCAAATCACAATGGAATTCTGTCGACCACACATGCACGAAACACAGGTGAAACCCCATTTACAATGCGGAACCGATCCGAACATGATCCGAACATGATCCGAGAATGATCCGACCCCACACGAGACCGTCTCGCAACCGTCGCACCGCAGAGGTAGATCATCGAGGTTCGGGGACGGACTTTGTATGGAAAAACATAGGGTTTCGTCCATCTGCTATCTCTCAAAAAACGCATTTCGTGCGAGACTTCCTTCAAAACTCCATCGGCAACTCCTCCACCAGCACCACTTGGAATCCCATTTACAGTGAGGGAACGATCCTAGAGTTGCAAATCACAATGGAATTCCATCGGCAACTCATCCACCAGCACCACTTGCAATCCCATTTACATTGCGGGAACGATCCTAGAGTTGCAAATCACAATGAAATTCCATCGGCAACTCATCCACCAGCACCACTTGCAATCCCATTTACATTGCGGCAACGATCCTACAGTTGCAAATCACAATGGAATTCCATCGGCAACTCATCCACCAGCACCACTTGCAATCCCATTTACATTGCGGAAACGATCCTACAGTTACAAATCACAATGGAATTCTGTCGACCGCAAATGCACGAAACACAGGTGAAACCCCATTTACAATGCGGAACCGATCCGAACATGATCCGAACATGATCCGAGAATGATCCGACCCCACACGAGACCGTCTCGCAACCGTCGCACCGCAGAGGTAGATCATCGAGGTTCGGGGACGGACTTTGTATGGAAAAACATAGGGTTTCGTGCATCTGCTATATCTCTCAAAAACGCATTTCGTGATTTTCGTGCGAGACTTCCTTCAAAACTCCATCGGCAACTCCTCCACCAGCACCACTTGCAATCCCATTTACAGTGAGGGAACGATCCTTG